AAAACATGCTGGCTGGGATCCTCTCAGCTCATGAATGTGCTCTCACAGTGATCCTCACCTCCTCCAGATGATGTCACCGATGGAGGATTTCGGTTGACTCATGTCGTAACCATCACTCCCAGTTTCAGTTCAGACCTTTTGGGCAGAGGGAGTCTTCAGGGTCTAATTTTAGAGTTGTGTGTTTTATTGCAACACCAAGGACACACACACTCCAGATGTTTCCTGTTGCACAAGTCCAGAGAGACCGGGCTGGAGTGAGCCAGCTGGGCCCAAACGGTGAAGCAGCCCGGAGACGATGGACTGGCTCACGTTAACTGCTCTGGGCTTCTGGGACTTGTTAAACACCCACAATGTGGAGTTCGAACCCCTGAGGTGAGACCCGGCTCTACTTTTGAACTTACTCCCCTGGGACGAGCCAGCTGAGGTCCCTCATGGGAAATCTCCATGTAGCAGGAGAAAAACCCACTTTCATCAGGCTCGAGTCTGGGTCTTCTCCCAGAAGGACACCTCCCCCTAGGAGGTGTCCAAGGAGCATCCACACAAGATGCCTGAAGGCCCTCAGCTGGCTCCTCAATGTGGAGTTCCTGATTGATTTTTGAAGACCTCACCTGGTCATCAAACCCCCCCCCCCCCCCCCCCCAACATAAGCTGTACTTCCTCTGGATGTTCAGGAGGAAGAACCTGATGAGGAAACTTCCAGTGGCGTTCTACCAGGTAACCGTGAAAACATCCTCCAGTACCAGTCTTTGTCATCAAATCTGCAGCAGGGGTCACTGGCTGTCCTCTGCACTCCCTCAGGCAACATCAGTGAGGCCCAAAACATCTTCAGATTCCCCTCCCACACTGGTCATCAGATCTTTGAACTCCTGCCATCCGATAGGAGCTACGAAACCTTAAACGTTGCTGTCCACCTCCACCTAAAGGACAAAAGACTCTCCTCGGGGAACAGAAATGTTCATAATCTGGACAGAGAAGGTTGTTGACTGAAGAATGGGGAAAGAAGCCCTCATAGGTAAACAGAGGAGGTTGGAGGCATCACCGTTCTACTGTGAGTCTGATGGAAGACGGACTCCCACACCTTCAGACCGCTCCTGCACACCAGCAGGAACCACGGGGCTGACAGAGCGGGACTGGTCCGCTTTGGAACAGGAGACCAGATTCTGCAGAACATCTGATCTTCATCTCGGTTCTCTTCTGTGCTAAATGAATCAGTCCTCCTGAGTCAAACAGCTTCATCAGATTGGAACTAAGCCTTGTTGTTTTACTTCTGGAGCGGTTCCGACTCCAGTTAATGATCCATTATCTGTTAAATAATATTTAACCTGATTAAAGTTCATGCAGATACTCATCTGATAACATAAAAGTGTGTTTTCCTTTACACGAGCTAACACACACACACACACACACACACACACACACACACACACACACACACACACACACACACACACACACACACACACACACAACTGTCCCCCAAAGAGGATGTTTAACGTACTGATGCAGGGTGGAGCGGGGTCCCAGACTGAAACCAACGATCACAGATATGAAATCAGAGGATCTTTACCTACTGGAGTGAAAATAACTCCTGTTTTCTTTTTAGACAGTTTGATTCTTCTCATCTAAACATCAAACTGATAGCGCTTTAAATCCTGACTGTGTCTAAAACGAGATCCTGAGACGACTTAAAGAAAAGCTCCTGGGATTTCTGCTTCTGAAGCTTCTCAGCTCAAAGCAGGTCCCAGCTGAGCAGAACCTCCTCCCATCTGATCGAGGTCATCAGAAGCGTCTTTGATCTGGTCTCAAACTGGGGTTCCTGCTCCACCAGTGGGTCTCAGTCGCCCCCTAGTGGTCAGAAGCAGGAGTGTTGGTGTTAAATGTTTTCTCGAGTAAATGCCTGATTGTGTTATTCACACAGAACTTTAAATGATTTAATTTGAAAGTATTCTTTATTTAGCATGACGTTTTGTGATGCTTACATAGCATTTAGGCAGATTTTGTGCTGCAGGCTCCGTCTCTACTCGTCTCTGTGGGTGGTTTCTATCGTTTCCTGGTGTTTTCCAGTCTAATACAATAATAACAACTTGTTTCAGTGCCTCAGGATCCAGAGATGATTTCTGCAGATAAAAACTTCATTTTAGAGTTTTATTGAATCCTTTCAGGATGGAACTTGGCTGCAGCTTCACAGCCGACGAAGACCATAAAAGAAAAGTGCTGAAGTTTAATTTTATAAACGTAATTTAACAATCGGAATGTCTGGGTCCAATCCCTGAACTCTGTGTGTGTGTGTGTGTGTGTGTGCGTGCGTGCGTGCGTGCGTGTGTGTGTGTGTGCGTGCGTGCGTGTGTGTGTGTGTGTGTGTGTGTGTGTGTGTGTGTGTGTGTGTGTGCGCGCGCTTCTACAGCTGATTCAACACAAACAGAAAAACACGAGTACGATTTCCAAAAATGGAGCCAGAATTTTCCGTGTTTGTAACTGGGAATTTCTCCTCTTAGTTTCCTGATTGAACTAAAACAGCTTTTCCCCGCTGGTCGATCTTGGTTCAACTATCTGGCACATGAACCAGGAAGCAAGGGGAATTAGGTTTAACAAAAACTGACCAGCTTTTGCCATTTAGGGGTTAATGAGGCGGCTGCAAAGGTGCTGTGATGGGTAGAATACATCATATATGAGATAAAGTCATATTTAAAGTGTTGGAGGCAAAATGAAAGCTTTGATCAAACAACAATGTTAAATATGAAGAAAAATTATATGAAAAAAAAGTGAAAAAGATCAGTTTTTCGTGTAAACTCTTCTTAAAACTTGACATCACCTTGGTGTCAGACGCCAAACTCTGAGGTTATTTTCACAGGAAACGGGTTTGCAGCGACGCACAAATGAGCTGTTTCTGCCAAACATTTCATTTCTAACACTCATCAGAAATGTCAGGTTTTTTTTCCAATAATTACTGACGCGTTTAACTTGTTTTGTCAAGCAAATATTCATCAACGGTCGTTAGAGGTGTAGCGGAGGATCCTTTTCTTCCAGGTGGATCATCTGAACCATTGGTCCACACAACTGTCAATCATTCTGGTGAAGCTTTCATACAAGCCATCGTTGTACGTGTTTGTTCCTAATAAGCTTTATGCTAGACGCGTCCGCGAGGTCCGCACGGCTCCGCGCGGTGAAATTGCATCATTTTAACAACCATGCCCCTCCACCGCGTCTCCGCACGGCACAAACTTTCCGCACCGCGCACCTAGGAAAATTTTTAACCACGCGGACGATCGGACGTGGAAAAACATGGCGCACTGGCAAGAACTAGTATGGCAGAGGTTGGTAAATACAGACATTTGTATGATTCAGCTCTCAGAGATCACCGTGATCAACATGTTGTTAATAATTCTTGGAGAGAAATAGCTCGCACTGTCGGAAAAGACGAGGACGCTGTTAAAAATGCTGGAATGCCATGTTGTACACAGTAATTTCTACTTCTACTATGGTGTAGTGTTGGATGCATGCCGTAGAGCTCCATGCTGCCCCCTACAGTTTGGGAGAGTATTGGCTCGCCGCAGAGACAAGCCGCATGAACCATAAACGCTGCGAGTTGTGAAGCGCGTTCCATCCGCGAGCCGCATCACCAAGCGGAGAGTAAATGCGTCACGCATAAACCAAGCTTCAGGCTTGAGCCGGACAGATTTCCCTACATGTGTAGCTCACGGGTGACGACTGATGAAGATATCGCGTTTGAGTTCATACTTGTTCAATTTTTATTTTAATTCTGAAGTCTGTTAGCAACCGAAACACATCCTCACGTGCTTGTGGATAAAATATAATGCTCATGGAGACATGACTGTAATAATAAGTAAATGTTATCAGCAGTGTGCTCATAGGAAACGTGACAAAAGAACACAAATCTCATTTCTCTTTACGGCCTATATAGTTATCATCAACATAACATGACTTACAGAATACATGTGACCAACTAACATTTCATGTTCTACTACCGGATGTTTGGATCAAAATATGAACCAATCAGATCTTAGATCAGGTGAGAGTCAGGCGTTTCCCGTCATCTTCTAGGTTTTGCAGCCGGTGGAGAGCAACTGCAGCGCCTTGCTCCAAAATCTGCGGCCGCCTTGATCTCACGAGGTTATCGATGCCTGCGTAGGCATGACGTCAGAGCAAGTCGGCGTCAAGTCGGACACAAATCTAACCGGCAAGCACTGCTCGCCGATCACCGGTGATCTAATCTGCGCAGAACTGGCTCATCTCGAACACGGCCACTGTTTTTGTTTGCTTTAGGGCTATGGTTAGGTTTAGGGGTATGATGAGGGGTTCTTTGTGAGTAAAATGTTGCAACTGGCAGCTGGGTGTGTCATGAGGGCCAGGCAAGTTGTGGTTGAGGTGAGGATCCAAGTCCAGGGGGGGGGGGGGCAGGCGGGAATGTTTTACAAGATACTTTATTGGGACGCCCACAGGACATTGAGACAATGAAAAGCCAAGGAATACAGAACTGGGAGGGTTTAAGAGGAGCTGGGATCTAAAGTGATTGGGAGATGAGAGGCAGGTGGGAGCAATTAGGGAAGACACAGGACTGAACAGAGTGGGGAGACAGGACAGGTGGTGACCGAGTGGAAAAAAGACAGATCTCAACGGGGGGACTCCTATCGGCGTAACACCTGTTTTCTGCCCGACAGGTAAGCTAAAGTTCGGCATGCTATTGGAGAAATTCATTTCAGACTACTGCTAGAAGAAGTGCTGCAAGACTGGCAGCTACTTTAGTGATGGGAATTCCGGCTCTTTTTAGAGAGCCGGCTCTTTTGGCTCAGCTCACCAAAAAGAGCCGGCTCTTTCGGCTCCCAAGTGGCTCCTCAGATTTTCTGTTGCGTAGAGTACATTTATAACCAAAATAATGCAAAACTATATGTAAAATGATTTACTAATGTAAAAAAATGCAATATATTAAATATTTATCATTTCAATGGATTTAATAACTGAACACTTTAAGAAATCTCCACTTTCCGACTGCTGGCGCTCATTTTCTCACCGTCTTCGTCGCACTCACCTCTCTCGCTCGCCTTTTTCTTCCTCCTCATTCCCTCTCTCTCCCTCCTCCCACATGTGCTCTGCTGTGTGTCTGAGTCTGATCCTCCCAATGACGAGCCGGCTCCTGTCATTCACTTCAAAGAGCCGGCTCTAAGAGCCGGTTCGTTCGCGACCGACACATCACTACTACTAGTAAACAGAGCGTGCAAGAGGGAAACTGGGCGTTCTCTCTCATCAGAGACAGCGGTTATTTCCTGAAATTTAGAAACCTCCTCCTCCAAAACTTTTAAATGTGTTGGTTCTGTTAAAAAACACAAACTAATCTCAGTTTTATTATTTACACAAAAAATAAACTTGATTTAAGGAATAAACAGAAGATAAAATAGTCTTCTCTTCCATGATTAGCCTGTTTAACATCATGACTGAGCTTCGTTTCATTTGAACTGAACTTTAAAAGGACTTCAAGTCGTTATCAGTTTTCGTAGAGTAGTTTTGAGGAAAGGAAGTCTGTGGTTGCACTCGAGCTCCTGTGCGCTTCTGCAGCGCTCCTCAGCAGTTTGGAGATCAGCGATCAGGACGCAGCCTCCTGCTGCGCATCGGTTCTCTGCAGCATCATTTCCTGTGCAGCCTGCTCCTCTGCTCCTCCCTCCGTCTGGTTCCCGCAGCAGGAGAACAACTTCCTGATTATCACTCTGAACGGTGCATCGAGGTAGAGGAAGAGCAGGGGGTCGAAGCAGACGTGCAGCACGCTCAGCAGCAGCGTGGACTCCTTCCCCAGAAATAGCTGCTTCTTAGTCTGGCAGTCCGTGATGACTTTGGTCTGGGCCAGCGTGTACGGCGTCCGCGCCACGTGATAGGGAACGAAGCTGAGTGTGTAGGCCAGCGCCATGGTGGCCACGCTCAGCACCACCTGCCGGTCACGCACCCAGAGTTTGGCGTCACTGCAACTGCGCAGGAGTGTTTTCAGAGCAAGGCCGCTGCAGATGAGCACAGCCACCGAGGCGTTGAGGAACAACGCCATGCAGAGGAAAACTGTCATGGTGTGCCAGTGGAGGCTGATGTCCTCCTTCAGAGAGGAACAGCTGAGGTACCGGCTCTCCTGGAGGAACAGCAGAGATTCACACAGTAACACATAAACGGAAAGAAAGGCTGAGTCATGATTTAAATCATACATGCTTAGATTCACTGCACAGATAAAGTCCTCAGAGCTGAGATTACCTACTACGGGTTCCGGCTTTAGGGGCCGATGCAAACACAGCTTTCAGCTGCCGGTAATGATTTTAACCAACGTCATCAAAGATTTTTTTGACGCTTTATTATTTATTTCTGATCTACGTGATAATTCAGACTCTGGAATTAAAGACTTCCAGATGGAACATCTGAATTGGCTCATCGCTAGTTCTGGTGAGTTCGAGGACTGGGGGAAAATACGCAATTTGTGAGTTTAAAATCAGGGATTCTGATCTGATCTCTGAGTGTTGTGTGTTGTCTAAAACTAAATTCAATTAAGATAATAGCTCATTCAACAACTTTGCAGAATCTTTGCTGCAACCAAGGCCCTGGGCTGTAGAAAGCAACAACGAGATGTCGGTTGTTGGCTTGGTAACCGGGTGGCTCACTGAGAAGCAACTTTTGTAACAACGTGGTGGTTGTTTGCTTTATCGACCACAACGTGCTCTTTTTAAGGTGCTTGTGAATACACTGTCACACTGCCACGAAGGGAAGTTTCTACTTTGCAGATTTTGCACAGTCTTCTTCCATCCATCCATCTTCAGTCACTTAACCGGGGTCGGGTTGCAGGATCACATCAGGACCACGTCATCTGCCAAAAGCAGAGACCTGATCCTCAGGCCACCAAAACGTTCCCCCTCCACACCTTGGCTGCTCCTAGAAATCCTGCCCATGAAGGTTATGAACAGAATCGGTGACAACGAGCAGCCTTGGCTGGAGTCGTACTCTCACTGGGAACTCACTGCCAGCAATGGAGACCAAGCTCTGACACCAGTCATACAGGGACCTAACTGCCATTATCAGAGTACATGGACGTAATTTTGGGGGGGACGGGGGGGACATCCCCCCCCCCCCCACACACACACACACACACTTTTTCCAAAGTCAAGTTTTGACTCCTGCACTTTTTACCATCCAAAAACAATATTACTCAATATTAAATTGACACAGGGCTGTGCAGTGGCACAGTGGTTAGAGCTGTTGCCTTGCAATGCGAAGGTCCTGGGTTCGATTCCGGGCCTGGGATCTTTCTGCATGGAGTTTGCATGTTCTCCCTGTGCATGCGTGGGTTCTCTTCGGGTACTCCGGCTTCCTCCCACAGTCCAAAAACATGACTGTTAGGTTGATTGGTCTGTCCAAATTGTCCTTAGGTGTGTGTGTGTGTGTGTGTGTGTGTGTGTGTGTGTGTGTGTGTGTGCATGATTGTTTGTCCTGTGTGTCTCTGTGTTGCCCTGCGATGGACTGGCTCTCTGTCCAGGGTGTGCCCCGCCTACTTGCCCGTTGACCGCTGAAGATAGGCACCATGATCTCATCATAGACCCAGGAGAAACACGTGAAACCATCGTCACTGACAGAGCTGGTGTCTGTATGTAGAGGAAACTGGAACAGTCAAGGCTAGGTTAGGTCTTAGACCCATGAGCAGTGTTACGGTACCTGGACCTGCTTTGTGGGAAGAGCCATGTTGGGCACCATGATGAGCAGCAGCAGCGTCCAGACGACCATCGCTAGCAGCCAGGCGAAGCTGGCCTCCTGCAGCCTCAGGGAGCGCAACGTGTGGCGGTCCTGCACAGAACAGAAGCATGAGACCTCCACCGTTGACCCCGACTTTCTGCTCCTGATCTGTCCTGCTTTACCTGCAGGTAGCGGTCAATGATGATGAAGGTGTGGAAAGCGATGGATGCATACAGGCTGATGTAGATGATGACAGCACTGGCCTGGCAGTGGATCACCATGAGGTTCCACGGCACTGCTCCCAGATCCTTTAGGACCTTGAAGGGCAGAGCAAAGAGCAGCAGGATGTCGGCCAGCAGCAGGTTGAGCAGGTAGATGCTGGTGCTCCTCCGAGGCTGCTGAGACACGACCAGTTGTAGACCAATCAGGGCACCTCCCAGCCTCCATTCAACATCATGAGTTTGACAGAAAACTTATCTGCTGTTTTAATTCTGAATGATGGAAAATGTTTGGATGTTTACCTCACCTGGGAGTTTGACAGTAATTTGGGGGGATTAACTCCTAATCTCATCGTGCATAAATGGACCCCAAGTCTACCTTACCTTCAGCTCTCTGAACAAATTTAACACCGTCCAAAAAATTCACCAAATAAAAGCTAAAAGTAAACAAAAAACTCCAAATGGGACAGAATATTTAACTTCACTCCAGGTAACAACTGCTCTGAGTGGTATTGGTTAGCTGTGGCCGTGTAACAGGTGACATGATGTCATTCCCACCGGCTGTCACTGTAAAGGGTTTATTACAGGAAATGTGTAAAAATGTCACATGTTGAGACTGTGATTAAATTACTGAGTTTGGAAATACACGTTTATTTATTCTATAGATAAAAACACACAGGAAACTCTTTGGTGCAGCTTGTCAAAATAAGGGCATCTAAGGACTTATAAGCATCCCTCTGTCAGGGCACGTTAGACCGATATGACCCAGCTTCACCTGTTCTCAGCCCTTAGTTGTATTTTATAACTGATTATCCTTGTTAAAATATGTTCATGACAACAAAAAGGGATTGTCATGAGAGCAACATGATTTCAAATTCTGTAAATCCGAAAATACCTGGAGTTCGCATTTTAGGAGACTACAGGTGCTGATTTTCATCCACAGGGGGCAGATTTACAGTTTGGTGGTTATTAGAACTGTACGGGGTTCTATTTCTCCAGTAGAATTAATTCATATAAATTAACACAAGTTACAATGTTTAACATTAGACCAATTTAACATTATTATTATTTTTTTATTAATATAATACTAGTAATAATAATAATTATATTATTATTAATAATAATATAATAATAAAAATTAATAATAAGAATGTTATTATTATTATTATTTATTAATAATAATAATAATAATAATTATTATTATTATTAATAAAAATTAATAATAACAACAATAATAATATCATTATGATTTATTATTATTGTTGTTGTTGTTATTAATATTATATAACAGCAGGACCACCAGATTTTAAGAAGGTGACCACTGGTCCAGATCGGATGCTGTAAAAAGGTGAATCTTCATTCTAGCCTTGAAGATCTCAATAGAGGTAGCCTAACTAACATCAAAAGGAAGCACATTCCAGAGAAGCAGGGCACGATGAGCAACCGCAGACGACCACCGCAGTACACAAGCTCAGTGGCCTATCTGGAACATGTGACTTCAGAAGTTCAACACATGGAGTGGTGCTAGATTGTTGAACTCTTTATAAGTCAACAGTAGGACCTTAAAATCTGCCCGAGCAAAAGCCAGAGGGGTGATTTCAGAGCAGGCATTATATAATCACATTTTTTTTCTTTCTTGCTAAAGTAAGTTCTGTGGCATTCTGGGCCAGTTGAAATCCATGAACATCCTTTTGTGGCAGACCTGATAGGACAGCAGTACAGTAATCTATGCATGTGTGACGCCAAACTTTGCTATACGCTGTTTATTTAACAAGAAAAAAACTACGAAATTTGAAAAAAAAAAAAAAAACACAGAACATAACAAAGAGCAGGTCTGGCAGTTTCCACTGTGGAAGTCAAAAGTCAGGGGCGGATCAAACCAGACTCAAGTGTTTGGACAGCAGTGGCCCTAGGACAGAGCCTTGGGGGACTATTGTACCACTTGTTTCTGAAAAACAGTCGATGAAAGAAACCTTTGGCGTTCTTTCAGTACGATATGACCAAAGCCATGTGATGGCATGCTGCGTTACACCTGTTTCATTCTCCAGCCCAGCTAGCAGTATGCTGTGGTCAACAATGTCAAACGTAACACTCATACCTAGTAACAACAGCGCTGAGGAACAATCGTTGTCTATATACAGAAGCTGGTCATTGACCACCTTAACCAAGACAGTTTCAGTAGAGTGATTCTGATTAAAAGCAATCCAAACTGCCTGTGATCCACTCTTTCAAGTATTTTCAACTGAAAATTTAAAAAAGAAATAAATCTTTTTTTTTAATGGTTTAACCCTCTGGAGGCAGGCGTTTCAGTCTGGCTTTAAAGCTTTTCATAGTACAGAAACGGCACTGATAAAGGTATTAAATTACATTATGTTGGAAACTGATAGGGGAAATCCTGTGCTACTTGTTTTGTTGGGCCTTACAGCTGCGTTGGACACTGTGGACCACGAAGTGTTGCTCCATCGTTTGGAGTATAATGTTGGAATCTCTGGTCTGGCCTTAGACTGGTTCAGATCTTATTTGAAGGATAGGACTGTAAGTGTAAGGATGGGTGGGTTCAGTTCTGGATTCACACACTGGCGGTGGGGGGTCCCACAGGGTTCAATATTAGGACCACTATTGTTTTTGATTTACATTTTGCCACTGGGAGACATCATGAGGAAGTATGGAATTCGATTTCATATGTATGCTGACGAGTGCCAACTTTACTTACCCTTGGATTATAGAAGCGACTGTCCCATTATTACCTTAATGCACTGTCTACCTGAAGCTAAGCCATGGTTGATGGACAATTGTTTATGTCTGAATGAAAGCAAGACTGAGGCAGTGCTGTTTGGGTTACATCGTGATTTAGAGCGATCAAAACTGGATTGTAGGGATACGAATGCCTACCTACGTTCTTCAGCAGGCAACTTAGGAGTGACATTAGATAACGCTTTCACCTTTGACGCACATGTGGGTGCGGTTGTATCGTCCTCTTTTTACCACTTGCGACGTCTGGCCAAAGTGAAGTCATTTTTAACTAGAAAGGACCTCGAGACTGTTGTGCATGCGTTTATCACCTCTCGTTTAGACTACTGTAACTCTGTCTTAACTGGGGTGAGATAGAGTACAGTAGCTCGTCTGCAGCTTGTGCAAACCGCCGCGGCAAGATTCCTAGAAGGGAAAAGGAAAAATGATCATGTGACACCCATCTTGGCAGATCTGCACTGGTTACCGGTCGTTTTTAGAGTGCGTTTAAAAATTATTTTATTGGTTTTTAAGGCATTGAACGGGATGGCACCAGAATATTTATCTGACTTGTTACAGCCATATATACCTAGTCGTTCGGTCCGCTCAGAGCGTCACCATATGCTTCTAGTCCCCGCAACTAGGCTCTAAACAAGAGGAGACGGTGCATTTTCGGTAGCAGGCCCGAAATTATGGAATGATCTTCCATTATCTGTGCGACTCTCCACGTCAGTAGAGGTTTTTAAGAAGGCGCTGAAGACCCATTATTATAATCTGGTGTAATGATTTAAATTACATGTTATTTAATAAGCCATAAGACATAAGATTCCATAGAAAATATGAAATCAACCATATGGAAATCAACCTTACTTTTTAACCAGAAGATTGGAACTTTTTAATGCAGGGATTAGATAACAGCTTCGTATTCACTCAGAGACAACAGAAGAGAGAGTCGAGTTTAACAGTTTAAAGATTTATTACTAAACAAATTAAAACTAGACTAACTTTAACACTAAATGTATGGTGTAACTAAGGTGAATGAGACGGAGAGTGGTGTGATATGGAATGTTGTTCAGAACCAGCAAATCCGAAGAAACGATTAGTTCTGATGGGAAATGAAGGTGATGTCTTTGCTCTAAGCTTTGGTTAGGAGATTCATAAACACCTTCGACGCCATTTGTCGGTCTACGTACCCTTAGCGGAGGTCCCCGTCTAGATCAGGAGGTGTAAATGTCCAGCTTGACCTTAATGGAGCCGGAGCCTGTGGGAGCAGCCGCAGCAGCCGACCACCAGTCTTGAGATACTTCCGGGTCACGACAGTTTATCGGCATCTAACAAGACCCAAAACGGGGTCGTGTTGGTTCAGCTTTTATTCTGAAAGGAACCGTTGCAGCAGGTGGAACAGCAACAGGTTTTATCCAGCTTGTCGTTGGTTCTTTCGGCTGAAGAGGAAAGTTACGGATTGGCCACTCCGACAACTTCTCTAGAACGCTTTGAACTGGCGTTAAAGATGGCGTGGGCATAGTTTTATACTTCGGATGTTTTGGTTTATGGTCGAATGAAAATATGACAGATTTACCAAACACCACCAAAACCACGCCTCCGTCAGATCTGGCAGATTCTGATTGGATCAGTAAAGCAATGTGTCGTCTCTTAACGCTACGTGAGATCAGTCCTGGTGGAAACATTTAAAGTCATATTACTTATTATATTCTATAGGATTATAATAAAGTAATTAATATTTTGATTTCACGGGTTGGTCACATCTTATTATTGACTAACACTTTGTTTGATTAGCTTTATTAAAATAGAGTTCCTTGATTTATTAAAAGGAGAGAGTCCATTCTTCATTCTTCTCTTGGGCTGGAAAGAAGCAAATGCATGAGACCTTGAGACCATATCTCATGCAGACTAGTTCTGTGTCAGAGGAGAGGGGGAATATGACTTTTAGTGGAAACAGTCATTTCATACCGTTACAGTGGCTTTTAAATCTGTGTGTTAACAGATGATGTTTTGTATTTTGCTGGGGTTTTTTTTTCATTTGGTTTCCTGTATATTCTTTGTTTTTATCTTTTTTAGTTTAGTCTTGTTCAGCATCTTGGTGACATAATGTGCTTTTGTAAATAAAGGTGATGATGACGATGACGATGATGATGATGATGATGATGATGATGATGATGGTTACCCCACGTACGTGTTTCATGAGCATTTTTAAACTCAGAAGTACCCCTGAAGGACTTAGTTGTTCATCCTTTTATCAAAACTTATTTTGAGCTTGAGAGGGTTAAGATGACATCTAGACACTCCTCATTACTTGATCTATCAGTCACGTGAAATAAAACTTGGACGGAGCTGCTAAGAGAGCTTGGAGGTCAAATCACAGGCTTTACGTTAGTACACATCAGCTGGTGAACACAAAGGGTCAGGATCAGACGGGACATGAGGCGCAGTCCTACCCCAGTTCTGCTACTCCGGATGAACGCCCACACCGACAGCAGGTTCCCAGGTAGGCCCATAATGAGGATGAGGATGTAGAGGACGACGAAGGGGCCCATCTGGTCGTTGACGATGCATTGCTTGTCCACGGAGGAATTGGAGGAGGGAGGCATCATGGAGGAGCTGGACTAAATGTGTGAGACAAAAGTCCTGCTGGCCTCACTCACGTTCGTGAAGCTGCAAAACCCCAAAGAGGAAGTCACACAAGTTCCAGCCAGGATCACAGAGCTCTATCCGGATGCTGCTCTGATTCGAGATTATAAATCTTCTGTTGACTCACTTGCAGCTCTTCAGCCTGCAGAGAGGAGATCAGAACTTGTAGCGACACCAGAAATCTGTTTGTAACGTTTTAGGTATTTGGATACTAATTCAACCTGAGAAAAGTGTGTTGATCGTTTCTACAACCCGTATTCAGGAAACGAAAGCTGGAAAAGTCATGTGTTCTGTCACAAAGTGAGGTTTACACATCAGAACAATCATCTGACCCTCGTCAGGTCACCAATAGGGTCTAACCTCAGACTAGCATCAGTCTGGGCTGTTATTAATGAAACTGTTTTCAGTAAATCTGCTGTAGAGCTGTTACCTGTTACCAGATGACTGATGAATAAACCTGATGTTAACCTTTATCTTTATCAAAAATCAATAAAATGAGAAAAACTCTGAGCCAACGGCTGCTTCAGCCCGAACGCCGGCACCCCAGTGAACCTCTGACCAGAACACCGTCCCATTCATTATGGCGCGGTATGGGGGCCAAAGTTAAGACTACTGCCCAGCAGCAGGAGGATATATAAATTCTGAAGCAAACTACCGACCTGATTAATGATAAGCTGGCGCCGGTAACTGAGAGGCTGGCGCTGCTTACTGAGGAATAGCACCTTTACCGGCATTATTACTAGATACGCTAGGGACTAGCAGCCCTCGGCTGGTCATTGACTGGTTCACACACTCCTTCTGCTGTCTATTAGCATGGATAGGCTAGCGTTAGCCTGGATGGGCTGGTGCTACCCTTACCAAAAAGAAGTACACTGAAGTATACTTGAAGTATACTAAAAATGAATACAGTATACTTCCAAGTTTACTTTCAATGTACTTATCAGAAGTATAGTTATCCGAGTACATTTTTTAAATACTACTAAGTATACTTCAATACATACTTACATTAAAGTTTACTTACATTTAGACTATACTTGTACTTGACTCTATCAGAAGTATATTTCACCAAGTAATGTATAAGTATACTTAATATATATATATACTTATATAATATAATAAATATCTAAGTATATATATATAATATATATATACTTATATATATAATATATAAGTATATATATATATATATATATATATATATATATATATATATATATATATATATATATATATATATATATATACTTATATATTATATATATAAGTATACCGTAAATCCTCCAATACAGGCCGGTATTCAATTAAAGGCCGGGTCTCCAATTTTGGCCGGTGTCAAAGTCAGTTGAGGTAAATAATGGCCGGTCTCTTATTGTGGCCGGGTGGAATGTAGTAACAAGCAAGTATGAGCGTCCCAGCGGCAGGGTTATAGTCCCCAAATCAACCAGCAGGAAGCAGTAGAGGTTCAAGCAGACCTTTATAAGGCTTTTTCTTCAACGCTTTGTAACGCTACAGACACGATCCTCTATCACGCTCCTACCACACAGAGTCACGGTGTCACTTAACCATGCTAATTCAACCCACTCCACAGAACACACATTAACTTCCCTGTGGCTTACATAACACTCACACAACACGCAAATCAGCACATAGGAACTAGCAGAACGATAGGAAACACATATAACACAATACCCAGAATGCACCTGGCTTACAACCCCAGCCAGGTCATTACACTATCAAGTTCAAAGAGAACATGCTGATTATGCTGCAGAACACTCTGGAGAGCAGCAGTAGGGGGTGTATGAACTAGTCAACTTCACTATAGTGACTTTTTATGCCTGTCGTCGACTAGTCGCTGTCACGTGATAATGACCGGCAAGATGCAGCCCTCGGAAAAGACAGCAGTCTGCTGTCAGCAGGTGACAAGCTCCTGCGCTCGGGGGTGGGGGGTGAGGGGTGGGGGCAACGCGCTGTGCCAGACCGTAGGTACTGACACGCGATCGTTCATGTTGGTTCATTTCCTTTAATGTTTTCTGTCTTTTATTTGCGCCTGATGCGTTTGCTGCATGCTGTGGAGCGGGGCGCTGCGCGCATCACCTTGTCCTCCCGACGCACTGATCACTGATACGGCCGACAAACAGCGAGCACTCCGCTGTTTTTGCGGTCGGTAGATCTTTTAGAACTGCAGTTCAAAGGTAACTCATGAGGTGAATATATATGAACCCAGGTAGCAGTTTTTCTTTAGGATTGAGAGGAGATGCAGGAAGATAATAAACAGACAGGACAGAAAAATAGTCAAATAAAAACAAGTTAGTTTTTGTACCTGCTGTTGCAACAAACAGACACCATTGAAGGTCATCAGAAGTGAGGAACAGAAAATGAAATAATTATTTTAATGTTTAGAGCAGCAGGAACTCCGAGAGGCTGCAGGCGCATCAGTGAGTTTGCGGCCGCTGCGCAGGGGGAGGGGGGAGAGGGCTAAAGCAGGGGGAGGGGGGAGAGGGCTAAAGCAGGGGGAGGGGGGAGATGGCTGAAGCAGAAACTACCGTTGTTAAAAGAAATGTGTTTAACTTTGAAAATGTGGGCGCAATTTTAATTGTCAAAAACTCCAAGGAACATTAGTTCATTTTGCTCAAATGGAAATAGAGGCCTGCCTCTAATACTGGCCCTCCTTCCAATAAAGGCCTGGAGCTTGGTGAGCTTGAGTCAAATAGAGGCCCGGGCCTGTATTAGAGGATTTACGGTATATATATATATATACACTTATATATAAGTATATATATAAGTGTATATATATATATATATATATATATATATATATACTTATATATATATAATATATAAGTATATATATATATATATATATATATATATATATATATATATATATATATATATATATATATATATATATATATATATATATATATATATATATTTGGAACTTTTTATTTTTGAATTAGAACAACAACATTTACATGGAGATGCATTTGAGTTTCTTCTTCCCTTCTCCAGGGCGGTGTTTCCCTGAACAAAGTTTGAATTTCCTTGTGGCCATAAGATCTATCCAACTTAACCAAATCACCAATCAGTACATATAGTTCTGACAAGCTTTCTCTGTATTCATCTTATCTGCTCTCTACTACATTCCACATTTTACTTTGATCTAGCTAAATAACTCACCCAAAATACAAAAATACATAAATAAATAAAAAATAAAAATTAATAATAATAATTTTCACATGAGAGTACTATCTTTCTAACATTTGTTTTATTGGTTCCCAAATTTTTTCAAATTTCCCTAGTCCCAGTCTTGCATTAATTTGTTCCATTTTGTAGACCTGTCTAACTCTGTCTCTCCACTGTGCCACCCTTGGGGGTTCTGTGTCCAGCCATAAAACTGTAATACACTTCTTGGCAGTCATAAGCAGAATTCTGATTACGTATGTCTCCATTATGTGTGTATGATTTTTGGTACAGCATTCCCAGTACAAACCATTTTAACTTAAATTGTAATTTCACCTTCAAGGTTCTTTCAATTTCTCCCTAACACCTTCCCAGAATGGTATGAATTTAGGGCAGTCCAAAAGTGTATGTGAAAAGTCTCCCACTAGCCCGCATTTTCTCCAACATAAATTTGAAACATTACTATTTAGACATGATAAGTGGAGTTTTAAAGCATGCATCTTCACCTTCCATTCAAATTCCCTCCAAGACGGACTATTAGTTAGTTTATGGCCTGCTTCAAGTGTTTCCTCCCATTCCTCATCTGTTATCATTATGTTCACTTCCAGTTCCCATTTTTCTTTAATATCTATATTCTTAACAATCAAATCCTGTTGTAAAGCTTTATATATTTTGAAATCAGTCCTTTTTGACATGTCCTTTCTGTTTAACATAATCACTTCCTCCATATTAAGTTTATCCTTGCTTGAAACTTTGCCTTATTTTGAAATAACTACTCTGTCTGTCTGTCCTAAATAACATATTAAGCATGAAATTACGAATTATTGTGAAATTACACGCACAGGAAGTGCTTTTATTTTGTAGCATTTGCTCAGTCAGCTCTCAAAAGCGAAGCTTCTCAGCAGACCAAGAAGAAGAGCGAGGGTCGGAGGTGCATTAACCATCGGAGGTCGCGCTTCTGTTCTGCATCTGCACTTGACAGTCACTGGTTCTGCACCACTGAGCTAAATGTAAGTAGCCGCCATAAAAGTTGCTTAAATGTTGTAAATGTTTTTAAGATGGACATGGTGAGTAATGTTGGCCACGTAGCAAGCTAATATGCTAAGTCATTGCATGAGTTAGCTGTGTTATTAACTTTGTGTGCGACTAAAGTCCGTTTATTAAATTAAATGAGCAGCGCTATCTCATTATTAAAGGTTAGCATTACTTTACATACTTTTTTATTAGACTTCTAGAGACTTATTCCCTCCATTTTTGTCCCCTCCATCATAATTTTTTAAACGTGACGTTCTGAGAAAAAAATAAAAGCGGGAGCTCAGCGCCACCAAGTCAAACTTAAACGTCCACTAATTAAAAGTAAATGAGCAGTGGTCTCTTGTACAGTGATGAAAAAATCAGTCTGTGATGTAAACTATTTCCCCATAGCACCCGTGCGATAGCTTTGCAAGCAGCCTGCTTTTTTAACTGTAGAAGAGGATTGTGACTGCAAGAGACGAAGCGGTGCTGTATCTCGATGCTATGTTCCCTCCTTCCCTCCATTTTTGTCCCCTCCATAGTTTTTTTAAAAGGTGATGTTCTGAGGACAAAAAAAAAAACGGTAAGCGGTAAGTTCAGTTAGCTCGCGGGAGTTTGTCAGTTTTTGTGAAAAGTTTTATTTAATACACGCATAGACATACACATTTTGTTAATGTTTTTATCATCAAATTAAATAGTGCTCAGTTGCACATATCTTGAACCGCAGAACGCTGTTTCTATTAATTTCACAGTATTTTAGTGTTGTAATTTTGTCCTTACTGTACACTGTTACTCCAGATTCTTTTCTTCAAATGTTATGTTTTTAGCTTTGTGTGGATAAGTCAAATTACACTTGAATCTCCTCACACACACACACACACACATATATATATAATTTAGATGATTTAGCTTCATATATAGTGGAGGACTGCCTAAATTTTGCAGACTAACACAGATCTACCTTGTGATTCACAATGTTTGTTTTCTCTACTGATTATGCTTCCTGGTGTAGATGTGCATTCCTATGAGCTGTCAGCCACACCGGGAAGCCTGTCTATGAATCTGCAGTCAGACTTCAATGATCCAACCCCACTCTCCGCACACAAGATTGATGGCATGCTGCTGTTGACCCCCAAGAGGTTCATACAAGTGAGACCACTGGTGAGTAATTCTCACAATCTGCATTTTTGATGGCGCATCCTAAATAACATGACTATATATGTATGTATGTATATATGTATACAGATTAGGGCTGTCGCGGTTGAGGAATTCCCCCTGCGGTGAGTCAGGGCAGCTCAATATTGCGGTATGCGATATTATTGCACCCCGTTTTTATTTATGTACTTAGCAAATTTGTTTGTTGATTGCGAAACTCATGTCAATATTTCCTTTGAAACATTGTGCTTACAAATTTAAAAAATGTTAGAAAAAATACATGGCCATTTTTAACACTTTATTGAATGCAGATCGAAGGGCAGTTACGGCATTTTCTGACTGAACTTAAAAACAACATTCAGGAGGTTTAACTTTGAAATGCAAATTTGGCTGCAACATATAACAGAAATAAAAAAGTGCCTGTTTTGTTTTGTAGTTTAAAATAAAGTATACAAAATGAGATGTCCTAGGCACTGTCATTTCACTTTCACACACAAGAATAACATAACTCGGTCATGTCCTTGTTATACGCAAGGAAAACCAGCATGTTAACCTTATGCGGTTTGAGAGAGGATCTGAGAGGGGTGACAACATTTCCAGCGACACTAAAAACCCTCTCGGATGGTGCGCTTGTTGCGCAAATACACATGTACTTACGTGCGACTTTGGAGAGCAATAGAAATCTCCCATGTTTGTTGCGCCACCATGTCAGAGGGTTTTCATTAGGGTCAATGGGTTCCTCCTG